ATTAAAAAGAGTAAATCAAATCTCCCATGAGATTGATTTTTTTTTTTTTCAGTTCAGTGTTTATGATGATTTTTGGATGGTCTGTTTCTCGTGCCCTATTTTTCACTGTTTTCCCATATTAATTCATGCACACGCTACAGCTTGAATAACTGAATGGGCAAAGACCCCAGTTTGGTACCAGGGTCCTTATGTGATAAGCACTGTAAGAGGCTTTCATAAGTAAAGCAGGTGGGTGGATTAACAGATGGCTTCACAAGAAAAAAGGCAACACACATGAAAATATGCCTGTTTTGTACAACAGGCATAAAACAGAAGTCAGGTTTCTGCATCTGAATGTTTATGACTGCTAGAGGCAAGCAAATAGTTGTAACAACTGTGGGAGGAGGCAGGCTAAACCAAACAGTAGCTTTCCAGGCTAGCGTGATGTCCCTGTCATTTTAGAAAGTTTCTGAGGAATAATTTGGTAGTCAGGGATTCCCACAGTTAGAAAGCAGAAACAGATTACTAACAGAGCAACCTGAGTAACTGGGTGAAGATAAGACATGAAAGATGTGAAGGTAAGGATTAATAGCCTCACTTTGACATGGAGTAAGGAAGACCCATCAGAGTCATTAAAAAGAGGGTGATGCAGTCATACCAAGATATTGTAAGACAATTTAAAAAAAATGTTTTTGAATGTACTTGGTGAGGAGATTAAAAGGTTAGGAAGGTAAGAAATGCACAGTGTTTGTGTTCTGTTCCTTTGAACAAAGAAGCCAGACAAAACTAAAGGTCTAGTAGATTATTTCACTTACAAAGAAAGATGATGCAAGTCATTATGTAGTTTTGTTCAATTTCCATTCATTGAAAATATGGCACAAAGTCTTGATTTCTTGAGCAAAAGCTGATCAGAAAACCAGCAGCAGTCTCCATGCTTTAATTCCTACATTTCCCTACCTGTCTCTGATTAAAAGAAAAAAATTCCCTTACAGCTGTCATTGAGACCCCCATTCTGGTATTATTCAAGCTGAGGCTTCCTGTTTTTCCAGTGGGAACTTCCATCTCAGACTGAGGGCAATTTCAGCTGGAGCTGCTGCTTCCTGCAGTTTTGCTGGAGCTGGGTCTGCAGCCCCCACGTAGCCCTGGCCCCAGCCCACCTCTGTACAGGGCGGAAAGATGGGCTTCACTCTCTCATGAGGGGACAGCTGCATGACATTAAACCCATTAGTTTCAATGTAATGTAATCCAATTTATAAATTAAGCTGGCCTTAAAAAAAATTTAATGTTGAAGATATTGACAGCAGGAGGATTTTTTTTTTTCTTTCTTTTGTTGAATATCTGCATCTATTCTCTTTTCCCTTCCCAAGATACATTTCTGGTATCCTTGTCACCTTTGCTACCTGATTCTTGACTAATAAATGTAACAGTAATGTATATTTGATTTTGTTGTTGTTTCACAGCTGCTTTAACATTCAAGTGCCTGGGAGACCAGTGGCCTGTGTACTGCAGGGTGATAAGAGAGAAGAATCTCTGTCAAGACATGAGGTGGTATCAACGGTGCTGTGAGACGTGCAGGGACTTTTACGCGCAAAAAATGCAACAAAAGAGTTGACCTCTGTCAGGCTGGCTGGCTCTCGGCTCCTTGCAATCTTATTATTTATAAACACACACACATACACACACACACACACACACGCGCGCAATGCTTCTTCAGACCAAATATTATCAGATTACATATAATTTAATCAAATTAATTTATTTTTGCCTGCCAGACATCCTTAATTGTTTTGGTTAGACAGCCAACTTGTTTTATTCTCTGACTTTTTCATAATTAATTTTTATATGTACAATTTCGGATACATTTATCAGAATTTTTAAAAAATAGTAACTAGTATTTTAAATGTTTATTTTCAGTAGGATCATCTCTCTGTTGCCAAAAAAAGTCATGTTATCTTGAATTTATTTTAATTTAGTTGAATAGTTTTGTTGTATATGGAAATAAAGCCCTTTTTAATTTTATTATATTTTTGGCATACAGAGTCAGAATGATTTTGTGTATTTTGCAACAGATCTTGAGATGAGTGAGCTAACATTATTGAACAAGTTATTACAGAATGTATTGTGAAATCAGTTCATTTGATTTAGAAACATACTGAAGGGGATAATCTACTGTAACTTATATTATAAACAAGAAAATTAAAATAGCTAAGTAGGGATTTTGATCATTCTCATGGACACGTACTTGAACACAAGTATTGAATCAATGAAACACTGTAGAGATTTACACTGAATCACTGTTGCACTGTTTGAGGTAGTGTAGAGAAATGCAGTCCTAGAACTTGTACCATCCTATGAATCCACGTCTGTACTGTTTTAACATGTCACTTGATTTTAAACGTTTTGAAACAAAAAACCCATGCCCCTCTATACCTTTGTGTGTCCTCTTGCAGATTTATGAATGGAAGAGTCCTTCCTCCTGCCACTTGTATGAATTAATCTGTTAAACATTTTCAGTTCTCTGTTGACAATTTAGAAAATAGCTTTGTAATACTACTTCAGTTTTATCTTTGTTTTATGAAAAGTCTTTATAAAAATAAAATGTTTTACAGTTTTGTGAAACGTAATGAAACAGCTAAAATTTTCCTTATGAGAAAATATTGTACATGATTCACATGATTCTTACATTTTCAATAAAAAGTAAAGCTTCTTTCGTTATTTGCATTTTTCCTCTTTTGGGCATCCATGTCTGGTAGTGAATCCATCAGGTCCTGCGTCGCAGCAAGTACAGCTGCAGTAGTCCTTACAACAAATGCCTCCTGCCTCTTGACTTAAGCAACTGTCTGCAGCTGCAGACAGACATGCCACTCTCTGAGGTTTAATATATGGGGAGTCGGGTATAACAGAGTGATATTCAGTGGAGGAGAAGTTATTTATCACAAGTGAGTCCTGTAACCACTGAACTTGGCAAGAAGAGAGCGGTAGGTCCTCTGCCTCCATTTTGTGATGCAAGCCTTTAGGCATGGTCTGAAAATAGGTAGAAGAGCAAAGCCTGAAGGAAAGGGAGCCAGAGAAATGAGTCTGAAAGGCACCATATTTTCTACTCAAGTGAAAAGGTAATGCATTTTTTGTTGGAGTGATTGTTCCTTTTAATTCTCTGCAAGGAGTCTACTGTTAGAGATGTGATGTACATCATCATACCACACAATTTAATAAACTGAGGCCCCCAGTCAGGACTGTGATTCTGTCCAGGAAGAATGCTTAGCTGCAATATTGACTCCCATTGAATTAATGTATGTGCTTTCAAATAGCTGCACTGTCAAAATCTTTGGATTGGCATCTTACTGCTATGCATTCAAAAGCTGCAATTTAGTGATGTACTAATGTATGATTTTAAAATTAGTATCATATGGTTATAAAAAGTAAAGAAGGAAAGGAAAATAACTCTGACGTTATGGACTGTGATACTTTATTTTGTATAATCAAAAAGTTTCAATGAACAGAAAATTCAGTTGCTCTTGGGCATAACTCCTCAGTGTCATAGACACACATTTGAAAGTCTAAGAGAATTATTGTAGTTGTCAGGCAAAAGAAACAGTCATTATTTTAAATTTTCCTCATACTTAGTACTCAGTCCTGCTAATACTCCTGCACTCGCTTGAATCACAACTAAAAATCAAGTGAAAGGAAAGATGTCTCCAGACTGAGCCAGAGAACAGTCTTTTATCAGCCAGTGATGTCATCAGCACAATTTTGAATGCTTATGCTCTGCTCTTTCTGAACATTCCACTAACAAGAATGTCATCTTTACCTCAAAATGGAAAAGTATATTTTAACTCTGCCTGTATCAGTTGAAAACAGATGAGTGCTGAAATGTCTCATGCTGAAATCGTGCTCCCATTACCCTTATACAACATCATAAAATGGAAAGGACTTTTGAATGGCAACCAGGGATGAAAAGTTGCACAGTAAAATTATGTTCTTTTTAAATGTAATGAGTGAAATCAGGATGTTATAACACTGATAGCTCTGGCTCTGATTCCTTCAGTATCTGTAGTACAAAACTATTAATTAGGCATGTGTAAATAATTTTGAAAAGTTTTGTGTCTATGCAGCAAAAAGTCTCTGCCTTCTCTGCATGAATTTGTAAATTTTACTACTTCAATATACTCATCATCATTTAGAGAAGCAGCACTGACCAAAGTACCTGTTTTGTCAGAAAATTATAAGAATGTTTTGAGAATGTGTCCAGCCTGTGGCCGGAGCCCCAGCACACTGTTTTGTTCTGGAGAATGTGGTTAAGGTTTGGGGTTTGGGGTTTTTTTAATTCAGTTTTCATTGTCACCTTCAGTGACAGAGAAGCAGCCATTTGCTTATTCTAAAAATATATTAAAAATGGAAAGCCTGTCTGCATGAGATCAATGAAGGTCCTAAAGCCTAACAAGACAATTGTAATCAGAAAATTAAGAGCATTCAGAAAGAATTTTAAGACTCTACAGAAAGGATGCTCAAGCTAATAGTAATAGGAACTTGAAATACCTCAAAAGCAGGAAGCCAGCTAGGGAGTCAGTGGGACCACCTGATAACATAAGTGTGAAACGGAGACTCGGGGATGATAGAGCTATGAAAGGGAAATTCAGTGAATTATTTGTGTTGGTCTTTCCAGCTGTGAAATGGAAAGGGGGTTCTCGCAGCTTGCACATTCCTCATAGCAGAGATGTCAGAGAAGCTGGATCAAGTTGAAGAAAATATACATGAATGTAAGACCGAATACGTATGTTCGATACTAACAGGTATTTACGGTGGCAGTCACGTGAGATTCCTGGAAGAACAAAATTGGGAAATTACTGTACTGCTTGCCATGGCGCGTAAGTTGTTTTTCCAAAGAGCAACTCTGCCAGAGGACTGGCAGATTGCCGTGTAATTCCTGCGTGTGGAAAAGGGGATCTTTAGGGGATCCTTTGAACTACAGCCTATGGAATCTTGAGTTCCTTTTCTGGTGCCCTAATAGCCAATAAAAAAGATTAAGATCCCTGAGCACCTGGATAAGCATGGGCGTTGGGAGAGAGTCATCATGGCTTCAGTTGTGTCCTGAGGAAAGACAATCGGCTGGACACAGAAGGTCCCAGCAAGGTTCCATGTTACAGGATATTCAAGAAACTATATTCACGCAACAATCTTTATGGCTTGAAAGCTGGTTCATATAATCATTAAGGTTGGAAAAGACCTCTAAGATCATCAAGTCCAACCATCAACCCAACACCACCATGCCCACTAAACCATATCCTGAATTGCCACATCTATACGTCTTTTGAACACTTCCAGTGATGGTGACTCCACCATCTCCCTGGGCAGCCTATTCCAATGCTTGACCACTCTGCCAGTAAAGAAACTTTTCCTAATATCTAGTCTAAACCTCCCCTGGCACAACTTGAGGCCATTTCCTCTCGTTCTATCGCTAGTTACTTGGGAGAAGAAACCAACACCCACCTCGCCACAACCCCCTTTCAGGTAGTTGGAGAGAGAGGTAAGGTCTCCCCTCAGCCTCCTCTTCTCCAGACTGAACAGCCCCAGTTCCCTCAGCTGCTCCTCAGAAGACTTGTTCTCCAGACCCCTCATCAGCTTCATTGCCCTTCTCTGAACACACTCCAGCACCCCAATGTCCTTTCTTGTCGTGAGGGGCCCAAAACTGAA